GTCCATGGGCTGATGCTCCAACCGCTGAGGCAAACTGGCCAGGGCTGGCTTCTTCTTTTTTTTTGTACGTGCCCCTAGCGAGAACTGAACCCAGGACTCTCTGGTCTGCAGGCCGACGCTTCAACTGCTGAGGCAAACTGGCCAGGTGGCTTATTTTTTTTTATTTTTTATTGCAGGATTTAGCCTCCCTGTCTCCTACCACAAAATTCCATTAGTGTTCTCTTTTGGGATAACTAAACATGCCCACACATATTCCCAAACACTTGTAATGAGCAGACATTTCCCATCACATTAATCATTTTCCCTTATTTCCTGCTGATCATAGTTGATACCTTAGGCAGAATGCCTTTTCACATATAGCCTATGGTGGCCCTTGAAAACTAAACACAATGTGATCACATTCTTATGTACGATGGTTGTCATTTTCTCAGCACTTTTAATAAAAAAATGACCTTTACTTGCATTTCTATTGTAGTCATATGCTTCCTTTCACTAACTTTTCCAATGCTCTTACTGCTTTTGCACATACTATCTGTAACAAAGTTAGAATTTGTTGTATGTAGACCTTAAAAACTAAGCAAACACACATTAGCAGACTAAAATCAATGTGATGGTTGAAACTGAAATGCCTTGTGCTGGTGACTAGCACAGTTTTTGGAACTCACTCTGGAACTTACCTTGTATATAATCAGTTTGCAAACTGAAGTTCATTAAGTATAGGAGGCCTATAGTTACCCAAAGCAGATGGTGGCAGCAATGCTAATAGGGGTTTTTATTGCCACCAATTATAATAAAAGCATCTATGAGGTCTACACAGGCATGACTTATGTCCAAGAATTCTTTCATAAAGTACACAAACCAGGAAGTCCTGATTTATTAGTTAATGGAGGTGAATAAAATTTCACCTCTGGGGTTTACTTTTAATCTGCTAATGTTTGCACTAGAAAAACTGACCATATCAGAAGGTTTTGTTACTTCACTCAAGTTCTCATTTAAAGGGGCAAGAATGTCAATAACCGCCAGCACTATTGGTTAAATAATAAACCAAACAACAGATTTTTTTTCAGTAGGTTTGATTTATACAGGAAATTTATATGGATTCTTTTTTGTTAAGGGCAGAGGTAGGTGTGAGAGAAATGCTTTTGATTGGGATCTATCTAGTAAATTGGAAATGAGTTTTAAGTGAAAATTAGTTATGCATCTCCTTTTTGCTTTTTATGTACTTAGGTTTTTAAAAATTTAAAGTTCTTATAATTGCCAAGATAATATGTGGAGGATGATGGGAAAGCAAATGAATTGCCCATATAATTTCGAGATATTATAGTCATGATAAATACTAATTTTCAGCTAATGCACAATCCTAGTCAATTCACCTATAATTTAAATCTCAAAATCCTTGTACATAGATCACCACAAGCTGGGCAGCCATTTGCCTTGCCCAGTAATATTTGAGCAGCACATACGGAAACCAATATCCACTTGCGGCAGAGACTGCTCATTGTTCCCTTGTACCCATCCTCTCCTTTCTTTTATTATAGGGTTCTCATTGTCTTCTTTAAGAGAAGCTTAGCCTGAATCTTAGCTAATAAAGCCCAGCTCAAGCTTTACTCTTTTATTCTCTCTTACAACTTGGTGTGGCCAGGTGACCAAGTTATTGACAATGGAATGCAGCAGAAGCGATGTGTACAACTTCTTTAAAAGAATTCGTTTGCTCTCTTCCTTCCTATGGACTGGAATGTGGGCGTGATGGGGAGTCAGCTTTGGTCATGCAGGTGCGGACAAGCCCTGAGGGGAAGGCAGAACCACAGATGGAAGGAACCTGAGACCCTGCATCACTATGGAGCAGAGCCTCCTACTCACTCTGGCTGCCCTTCTACCTCTTGACTGCCATGTAAGAGAAATAGAAACTCTCTGGTTTGAACTACCACATTTGGGGGTCTTCTTTAAGAGCAACTTAGCCTGAATCTTAGGTAATAAAGGACATTAATTTATGTTTCCCTTCCACGTGAAAGAATTTTTTTTTTAAAAAAAGGTGGGAATATTGGGGAAAAAAGACGTCAGTATTGCACTGTGAGATTTTCAAAGTTTGCTTTTCCCACATTTATGTTTTTCTCTTCCAGGGACACAGTTTCATTCACTTTAAGAGACATTTATTGAATGCCTACTGTGTGTAAAACTCAGTAGGAGTCCCTATGGATACAGATGAAGCAGACACAGTTCCTGCCCTCAAAGGGCTCACAATCTGATAGGGCATACAGCAGAAACACATAAACAAATGCACTACAAGATAGGATATCTATGGTAACAGAGAAACAAATGAGGTTCTATGGAAGCAGAGAGACTTCCATAGTGACAGAGAGGGAAGGAGGGTCTCAGGAAGTCTTGACAGAAGAGATTGCATTTGAACTACATGATAAAGGATTTGTGGAAGAAGATGGGAAGCCATAGGGTCAGGTTTTTGAAGCAGTGGGAACAAAGGGAAGCTCAGAAAACAAGAAAATATCCAGACTTTTCTGGAGTTTGAGGTGGTAACACATAATTTAAAAAGGTAGTTTGAGGCCACATGGTGAAGGAGCCTTGAATATTATACTAAGGAATCTAAATTTATTTTATACTGATGGGAAAATAGTAGAGCATTTTAAGTACTGCAATTAAAAATTCATGGTACATTCTAGGATGGTGATTCTTAGCATGCACCAGAATCTCCTGGTGTGTTTGTTAAAACAGAGATTTTAACACTCTCAGAACATCTGATTAGGTAGGTCTCCCATGGGGCACTGGACTTAGCATTTTTAACAAGTTCCCATATGGTGCTAATGCTGCTGGAGATGCCACTCCTAGAACCACTATTTTAGGAAGATGTATCTGGCAGGTGTACAGGGGAAGAGTTGCAGGTTGAGTCCACAGGTAGGTGGATCAGATGAAAAGATTAGTCCAGGTAAGAGGACCAACATACCGGAAAAGAAGGGGGCGTATACAAACATTTCTGTAGAGGTAAATGGACAAAACTTTAAAACTATTTGGATGTGAGAGACAAGCCACAAAAAGAGAGAATCACACTTATCTAATAGGAATGATAAAAAGCATAATAATCCTGTTATTTGAGACTGAGCAGGTAGAAAGAGGAGAAGGTTTGAGTATAGAAAAATAATCATGAACTTGGTTTTGAAAGGCTGTGTTTGAGGCACTGACTGAGTGGTCTTGGGGAGATGTTCACCAGACCTAATTCATGGGTCTAGAGTGTGAGAAAGAGAAGTTAGAATTAAAGACACACATTGAAAAGCCACAGGCACAGAACCAATTGTTGAAATGATGGAGATTGGGACGGAGCTCAAATATTAATGAGGTGAGAGCTGAGGACAAAGCCTCAAAAAAGAAGACAAAGAACGAGGAGGTAGTGAGAGAACTAGGAGAGTAAGGTATCCTAGAGGGCGTGGGCTTAAACAAGGAAGGGATGACTAGCTGCTTTAATTGATGAGAGACTGGGAAGTTGGGAAAGACAGAGGGAAGACCATAGATTTATCTATTGGCAAGTCATCAATGACTTTTGATGGATTCATTTGGAAAGAACTAGGAGGGGCATACTCAGATGGCAAAGAACAGAAAATTTAGTGGAAAGTGAGAAGTGGACCAGAATGAGTGGATTGATGACTGGAGAAACTTAGGTGGGAGATTTATGAGAGAGATGAAGCAGGAGATTGAAGGGGAAGTAGGACCATAGGAAGTTTACTCTAGTGTCCAAGAGACCTGAGCAAATTAATAGGTGAGACTAAAGAAGAGAGGTGGGGGTGGGAGGGAGAAAGGAGAGAGAGAGGTGAGAGAGAGAGAGAGAGAGAGAGAGAGAGAGAGACGCAAGATTATAAAAAAAGTTATTAAGGGGCTAGATTTAAGGGCTAAAACATGGAGGTAGAGAGGGGTGCAAACCAATGTCTTCTCAGTAAACCAAGTAAAGGGATGATCTGTGGAGACTAAAGAGATGAGGAGAAGCTATGGGTGAAAGATAAGGAGCAGAGGTTTAAAACAGTCATTTCCTTAGGACTATACTAGAATTTACACTTTCAGTCCTTTCTGTCATTACTCTTGATTTAGTAGTGAGCTCCTCCACATGGCTTAGAAAGGTCACTCCAGGCCAGGGGAAGAGTCAGGCCACAGTGTGGCTGAGGGTCTTGCCTATAGACTCCTGGACCGAGGGTACAGTCTGGTATGGATGCCACAGAGATTCTAGGAGACACAATTCCACACTCATTTCCTGATGGGTGGCCTTTGCTGTAAACATAGATTTTTAACTTTTAATTTTCTTTTTCAATTGCACAATTGGTCATTTAATGAGCAACATTCTTTGACATAGCTCTTCAGGTAATATATTCTATCATTTAATCACTATACCTCATTTAGCTGCTTCAAAACTTTCCCAAATTTGACATGTACTCTTACCTTAATCCTGGTAGAGTGAGAGAGTGTATTCAAGGCTTAGCTGGGACACTTCTTAGAATAGGAGACCCCATGTGTCTTAGGCAATATAGCAACACATTGATCAAAGTAGATTTAGATTATTTCTTATTTGCTTATGTTTCACATTCATAATCAAAGACCTAGGAAAGTGTCAGTGTATTCATTCCAGTTTTTTTTTTAGAGAATGATGAAGCTTGTATAATCATGAACTGAAAAGACAAGCTATCTGTACTGTTTGTGCTTGAAAGGAGTAAGCTAGGTAATCAGAGTAAATGATTTTAGCTCACGTTTGCAAGCAGTAGATGGCAGCACACCACTTTTTTATGCTTTATGTAGTCATGCAATACCCCTGGAATCTGTAAGTATCTGGAGCCATAACCTCAGACTTAATCCCACATGAAAGCCAGTTATCAGACATTTGATTTATAAGTAATAAGAAATTCTTCAAATGATTTATTTGAGCATTCTTTAATTGCAGCGTTATCTGAAATGGCTAAAAAATATTTACTAGTTCACTTATTATTACTTCTACAAAATGTCTGTTTTTATATGATAATGTTTCTTTGTAATGAGGTACGACAAACAAGACCAGAAATAGAAAACAGAACACCAAATAACAAGCCTTAAACAAAATAGAACAAACAAAAAAACAAGACTACACATACTTACAAACTCTCCTGAACCAACTACATTCAAGAATTAAGAAGTTGCACCCCTTATCCCTGTCCACTCACAAGGCTGGTCAAATTCCTGCCTCTTGGTTTTTTACAACCTAAGTATGTTCTCGGCACCTAATGAGCTTTTTAAAAGCCAGCTTAAAGTCTTCATTAAAACTTGTGTAGAGCAGAGGGTTGATCAGAGAATTAACATAACCAAGCCATGTAAAAAAATCGGCCACTTCAGAGGATACAGTATAGATGCTTAGACCTACAATCAACTCTTTGATGAAAAATGGCAGCCATGACAAAATGAATGCACCCAAAATCAACCCTAGGATGCGTGCTGCCTTGCGCTCTCTGGTACTAGAGATCTGTTGGCGTTCTCCTGGATGATCTAGATCATTGTCAAAGGGAGGGATCCTGAAGGAGGTGTGGATCTTTTCAAACTCTGTGGTAGGGTCTGAGGTGGAGAAGTCAGACACACAGAAGGTCTGTGTAAGTTTACAATTCGCAAATGAATTTTGGCTATCTGTGCTCCTGTTGCTTAAGTGCCTACTTGACCCTCTTTTCTGGTAAAGGTTCTTGGCTGCGTGGTAAATCCGGTAATAGAGAATCAGTATCAAAGTCAAGGGGATATAAAATGCCCCGAGAGTGGAGTAAATGGTGTAGATGACATGGTCATGCTGGATGGTGCACTGACTGGGGGGTGGGCTGAGTTGGCGGTGGCTCCTCCAGAATAGAGGGGGCATGGAGATGAAGATGGAGATAGTCCAGACAGTGAGGATCATCAGTCCTGCCCTCTTGGCAGTCCTCTTCCTGGCATACTCAATAGCATTGGTGATGGCCCAGTACCTGTCCAGGGCAATCACACACAGATGGAGGATGGAGCAGGTGCAGCAGGTCATGTCTACACTCAGCCACACTTCACAGATGAAGTACCCTAGTTTCCAGCTGTCCATGACAATGTACATGATACTCAAGGGCATAACTAGCACTGCCACCAGGAGGTCTGTCACGGCCAGAGAACAGATCAGGTAGTTGGCGGGCTGGTGGAGCTTCTTGGTGGTGCAGATGGCCATAATTACCGCTACATTTAGCAACATGGTCAGGGTGGTGATGATCACCAGAGTCATGGAAATGAGCATCTTCTCGGTGATGGTCTTGGCTCTCACAGCCACACTGGCTTCTGTGGTACAGTTAGTGATGTTCATGGTTTCTCTGTCCCAGTTTACACTGTGGAGAAGCTTTTGGTTATTTTCCTTCAGCTGGAAACTATGTAGACTTGAATGTCCTTCATTCGTAGGAGGCTGTAATTCCTTCAACTATGTAGTTTCCTGTGTTCCATTTTGGGTGGGTAATGGGAATCGCCACAGCATTTCTTCTGAATGGAAGGGTCCTGGAAAATAGTATGCTACTGGTTAATGAATGAGAAAGACATATTCTTTTTCCTGCAATATATGATAATATTTTGGTGTTCACAAATTCTCTACATAATTTTGATATAATTTTCTTCTCCTTCTCTAAATGTAAACTTCATCTTTACTTTATTCCTCAAAGGATACTTTTTATAAGTTCCCAAACTCTTTCCGATGAGGACATTACCAAATTTAAGTCTATCTTTCCACGTGAATGTCTTTCTTATTTATATTTATTATTTTATACACGGTGCACATTTATATATATATAAGGCTTTTATTTTACATTTGGAAAAATATAGTCACATTATATCATGCTTTAAAATTTTGGGGATCATCACATTAAAAAATTAATAATAAGCAGAAGCATATCGGGTTTCTTTGATGTTCATGGCAAATTGTTCTCAGAGTAATACAGCAAATCGACTGTGAAACAGCATCATCATTAAGCTCAAAGATCTCTGCATTTAAAAAAATGTTTACTTTTGGTTAATATGTCTGTTCTATCTCTATATATTGGATAGCTGTGATTAAGTTGGGTAGTCAATGAGAGAGTCAATGACATTTATTGAATGCATAGCTGTAAGGAATTTTTAAAAAGTAAAGTTAAATATAAATGTATATTCGCAAGACAATCAAAATTCACATGGAGATATTCACAGCTAATGGCTGCTGGTGAGAACACCAATCAAATCCTCTGGTTAGACTCTATGAGACTAGGTCCAGAAAAACTTTGAAGAAAAACTGGTGTTTTGGCAGTTTTAAAAAGGGACAGAGATTAATGTTGATTAGTACTGACAGACACAGTGATTTCATTGAAAGATGAGGGCAGGAGCAGGTGAGGTATATATGAAACAGGAGTGAAAGTGGTGAGGGTCTTTGGGTGGAGTGGGGATGAGAAGCTGGGGGGCAGGAATCAAAATTTGAGGCCTCAGTGAAATACAGCTCAGGATTTACGTCTCCTGCCCATAGGGCAACAAGAGGGGAAATGGGTGTCCTTTATCCTTTAGATATAGAAAACAAAAGAAAATAATAATGATTTCACTAAAGACCAAGAACAGGGCAGTTGTTTTAAAGACAGACTATATCTTCCTGCAGTTAAATGAGAAGCATTTGGCCTCTCAGTGTCCATTATGCTTTGATAGTGTTTTCTGTGGATGTACCCACTATTGGATGTCTTGTGTTTCTCTAGTTCCTCCAGCAGATGTACTCTACCAACAATCCCCTCTTTCTGGTAAACGTTTTTTGTTTTCCCTGCTGGTACCTTGCCTTCCTTTTATAATTAGTTTAGATGTGCATTTACTTTTGAGACCAGGCTTAAAGACAGAAACATCTAGGCTCTGGAGTCAGACAGACCTGGCTTCAGTTGAGCCAGCTCCGAGCTGCTTGGGACACCCTCTCTATAGTCCTGCCTGGGTCCCATGTGTTTATTTCTCAGTGTTGACCTCTTTCTCTTTAACAAAATTAAATAAAGTTGTATTTTTCTGTAAATATTAATCCATAGTTATGTTTTTCTTGGATTCTTGAGGTTGGCTGGAATGAACAGTTCTCAACTGAAAGCTTTTCAACTCAGGTTGTAAGATTGAGTATAGAGAGCAGCATGAATAAGGGATTTAAAACTTTAGAAATTTCAATTTGATAATAGAGGCAATTAGAAAATGTAATTATTTTGAAAGCAGGCAGTAAAAATAATCAGAAATAATTCAACTTTATTTAACTTTTAAAAGCTGCTCTATTTATCTGAGCTCCCATAATTCCTAATTATCATTTTTATGGCGACACCATTTTGTTCCAATTTTTCATCTTCCCTCAGCAGACTATACATTTCTGGAGGGTAGAATGTAAGCCTGATTCACCTTTAAAAATTTTTTTTTCTTTATTGATTTTAGAGAGAGAGGAAGAAAAAGGGAGAGAGAGAGATAGAAACATCAATGAGAGAGAACATCGACTGGCCGCCCCCTACATGCTCCCCACTGGGGATCTGGCCCACAACCTGGGCATGTGCTCTGACTGGGAATCGAACTGGTAACCGCTTGGTGCATGGGTTGATGCCCAACCACTGAGCCACAGTGATGAATCGGCGAGGCTGATTCATTTTTTTAACTGCCTCTAGTTAAATGAGCAAAAACATTGCAGTTTGGTGAGAACGACCTTAGCTCTGTAATGTGACTTTCTGGTTTATTTTGTGCCCAGGCCTCACAGAGTAGGAGTCAAGTTTTCTACCCTTGTGCTGTCATTCTCCCCAAACTCCTGCACACATCCAGCTTGCCATCTTTTATTGCATAACAACACACATAACCCATTCTTTTGGATAGCTGGGTGAGATCACCTGGGGAGCAATGATAGATTGAACAAGTCTGAGAACTGGTCTTAGAGCTCGTCACTGCTTAAAGGTCAGGTCCAGAAAGAGTAACCCACAAAGCAGATATCAGCTACTGAGCTGGAGGAGAACGAGGGGAGATCATTCCATCCCAAGATCATGTGAAGAGAGTATATCAATTAAGAGTGATCAACTGTGTAAATACTGCTGACAGGCTGTGGTGGTGAGAACTGATCACAGAACTGGGCATTACGAATGACATTGATGACCTTGACCAGAGCAGTTTGGTGCAGTAGTGGAGATGAAAGGCTGAATGGGGTTTCAAGGGAGAATGGGAGAAGAGAAAACAGACAGCGAATAGAGCAATTTAAGAGTTTTGTTGATAAGGGGAGCAGAGACATAAGGTAGTACTGTGGAGATGTGGTGTCAGGGTTGTTTCGTTTTTAAGATTGTCTTTTTTACCTAGGCTGTTTACTATTTTCTTTTCTGCTGCACACAATATCCTTTATACTGGGACAAAAACATTTTTGGAGTGAATGAAATGTGAAAGAGGAAGCAGGAAAGCAGTAACGAAGGAGGCTGGTGTCCGTCAATGGGGCCTGGGGACTCCAGGCAAGTAGAATTCCTTGAGCAAATTAGGGATCACACCGGGGGCAGTGAAGGGCCAAAGAAACAGCCATACTCAGAAAATGATCTGAACTCAATTGTCTTGGCTTCCTTTTAACCTTCTTAAGAAAATGACACATGGTTTTATTATAATCACTACCAACTCCTTAGGGTAGTATGATTTCTAATTGGAACAGTGTTGGTTAAATGGTCCCCGAAAATCTAAGTCTCTTTAGCTTTTCACATAGTAGGGGAGGAGGGACTATATTAACACCTTACTCAAACACATTCTGCAGAACCAATCCAAATATTAATAATAACACATCAAACTTTTATTATTTCACCAGAATAGAAAATTAACTGCAATAATCATAGTTAAAACGGACGTATCGTACCAGGAGTTGACACAGGAACTTCTTGGGGGTTTGTGACTTTCAGTTTCTGCTCTAAGTATGACATAGAAAATACCAGTGCAGTCCAAAGCCATATTTCAATGGCTTTTTATTAAAATGAGGAATAGGAGAGAATTGTTCTAAACTAAACAGATTAGTGCATGCTGCTCTCTTTTACCAGGATACTTCAGGGCCTCTGGTTGATACCGTCCCAGTGATGGTCAGAGCATCAGAGAGATGAAGGAGGTCATGAGCACACTCAATTCATTTTTAATTTTACTATCTTATCTAGTCTTCTCTTGGTTCCAATAACTATTCTGAATTCACCATATTCTTTCATCTCTTCTTTGATTGTTTCCATTTTGCCCAAATTTCTTCAAATCATTTTTAGAAACATCCCCAATATGTGCCAATTTCTTCTTTTTTGTTATTTCAGGAGTGGCAGCTTGCCCTCACATTACTGATTTTCTCTCTCTAATTGTTTGTTAAATTCACTTCCTTAGCGTTCATAAAGACTTTTATTCTTGTCTGTCAAGGAAGGGAAGGGTGGCTAGAAGTATGTTCTCAGTTTGATCTCAGTGGGAGCAAAGGAAGATGTAAAGGAGATATTAGAGTGTGGTGTCCTATATTCTCTTTTTCTTATTTATTTAAATTGTGATTGGGACATAATGTGGTTATTATGAGCTTATTATATTAATATTAACAGAAAAACATCATTGCAAAAATTCAAACAAAATTGAGTACATAGAGTTTAAAGAGATGTTTGTGTATTCTAGACACAAGTCCACATATAAAAACATTTGTCAGAAAAACAGTTTGTGAACATTTTATTCCATTCTGTGGTTTGCCTTGTAGTTTTTAAATGTTTTTTTAAAAAACATTTATATATATATATATATATATATATATATATATATTTTTTTTTTTTTTTTTTTTTTTTTTGAGAGAGAGAGAAACATTGCTTGGCTGTCTCCTGCATGCCCCCTACTGGAGCTCGAGCCCCCAACCCAGGCATGTGCCCTGACCAATGACCTTTTGGTGCATGGGAGCTGAACCACACTGGCCAGGGCTGTCTTGTAGTTTTTAATGATATCTTTTGATAAGCAGATTTTGATTTTAATGAAGTCTAAGTTATCTACTCTTTCTTTATTATTAGAGTTCCCTGTGTCCTAAGAAGTCTTTTCCAACCTCAAGTTCACAAAAGTATTTTTCTACATTTTCATCGAGAAGTTTAATAGCTTTCCCTTTTAGGTACATGTTGGAGGTGGTCACAGAGAGAACATGACTGCTGGTTGATGAGAGAGCTGGACCTGGACAATCAGAGGAGCCCATCCCACCCCGTCCTTGGAATGTACCTCTTCCTACTATTCTCAAAGCTGGAGCCATTTTTTTTTTTTTTTATGAATTTTTATTTATTTTTTTTGTTACAGATATTTTAACTTTTTACCCCATTGGCACCCCCACCCCACCCCACCTCCGCCCCGTCCCCGGCTTAGTTGTCCATGTCCATTGGTCATGCATACATGCATATAAGTTCTGTGGTTTATCTCTTCCCCCCCCCCCACCCCCCATCCCCTCTTCTGAGGGATGTCAGTCTGTGCCCTACTTCCATGTGTCTGGATCTACTGTATTCCTCAGACTGTTCTGTTCATTATATTCCGTA